CAAGCTCCACCTCGTCCTCAAGCACAAGCAGCACATCCACGTCAAGCTCTTCGAGCAGCACGTCCACCACATCTACTAGTTCGACGTCAACATCCACCAGCAGCAGCAGCACATCGTCAACAACCACCTCCAGCACCAGCACCAGCACATCCTCTTCAACAACGAGCTCCACTTCTTCCACAAGCTCCAGTAGCACATCAACATCGAGCACTTCAAGCAGTACCTCCTCCACAAGCACATCCAGCACCTCAAGTACTTCGACTAGCAGCAGCAGCTCGAGCACTTCATCCTCCAGTACAAGTAGCACATCAACATCCAGCTCGTCCAGCAGCACCTCTTCAACGAGCACTTCTTCATCCAGCACATCTTCAACCAGCAGCACAAGCACTAGCACAACATCGTCAAGCAGCACCTCGACGTCAACATCCTCAAGCTCAACCTCATCAACGAGCACATCGAGCACTAGTACAAGCACATCATCAACATCCAGTTCATCAAGCAGCACTTCTTCAACAAGCACCTCCAGTACGAGCAGCAGTTCTACCTCCACAACATCCAGCAGCACTTCGTCTTCAAGTACAACAAGCTCGTCAACAAGCACGAGCAGCAGCAGCACGAGCAGTACGTCAACAAGTAGCACGTCGATCACGACCACGTCCACAACCACAAGCAGCAGTAGCTCCACCAGCACCTCTTCATCAAGCAGCACGTCCACCACCACATCCTCAAGCACGACGTCCAGCAGTAGCAGCAGCACATCATCAACTTCAAGCTCATCAACAAGCACCTCTAGCACCAGCACAAGCACGTCATCAACATCCAGTTCATCTAGCAGCACTTCTTCGACAACCATCACTTCCACCTCCACAACATCCAGCAGCACATCGTCCTCAAGTACAACAAGCTCCTCAACCAGCACGACTAGCAGCAGCAGCACGAGCACTTCTTCGTCAAGCACTAGTAGCACGTCAACATCCAGCTCGTCAAGCAGCACCTCCTCAACAAGCACCACAAGTAGTAGCAGCAGCACGAGCAGCACATCAACAAGTAGCTCGTCGGTCACAACGACATCCACGACCACCAGCAGCAGTAGCAGCACTAGCACCTCATCATCAAGCAGCACGTCCACCACCACATCTACCAGCTCAACTTCGAGCACCAGTAGCAGCACCTCTTCAACTAGCACCTCCTCAACTACCACGTCTTCAACCAGCACGTCGTCAACCAGCAGCTCTTCAACAAGTACCTCATCAACAAGTACATCTTCATCGAGCACCTCTTCAACAACAACCTCTTCGACAAGTACCAGCTCAACGTCGACCACATCGTCAAGTACCAGCAGCACTTCCTCCTCCACGACCACAACAAGCACGAGCAGCACTAGTAGCTCGACCTCGAGCAGCTCCTCAACGTCAACATCATCCAGCTCGAGCTCTACATCCAGCTCAAGCTCTACTACCGCAACCTCAACATCAACTGCCAGTACGACAACTGTGACATCTACCACTACTTCTTCCAGTTCAAGTACCACATCGTCATCGACAACAACAACCAGCAGCACAAGCACTAGCACAACATCGTCAAGCAGCACCTCGACATCAACATCCTCCAGCTCAACCTCATCAACGAGCACATCGAGCAGTAGTACAAGCACATCATCAACATCCAGTTCATCAAGCAGCACTTCTTCAACAAGCACCTCCAGTACGAGCAGCAGTTCTACCTCCACAACATCCAGCAGCACTTCGTCTTCAAGTACAACAAGCTCGTCAACAAGCACAAGCAGCAGCAGCAGCACGAGCACTTCTTCGTCTAGCACAAGTAGCACATCCACATCCAGCTCGTCAAGCACCACTTCGTCCACTAGCACTTCGTCAAGCAGCTCCACAACCAGTAGTAGTTCCACAAGTAGCACGTCGACAACTAGCAGCTCATCAACCACATCATCCTCCAGCACAAGCAGCAGCAGTTCATCCTCCTCCTCGACGACATCCAGCAGCAGCACTAGCACATCATCCACGAGTTCCAGCACAACAACATCTTCAAGCAGCAGCAGTTCCAGTTCGTCAACGACGTCGACCTCCAGCAGCACATCTACAAGCAGCACTTCAAGCAGTAGCACATCCAGCTCCTCCACGTCATCCACCTCCAGTACAACGTCATCCAGCAGCACGAGCTCCACCAGCACGAGCAGCAGTAGCAGCACCAGCAGCTCTTCAACGTCCACATCATCCAGCAGCAGCTCAAGTAGCAGCAGCAGCAGCAGCTCGTCGTCCACAAGCAGCAGCTCAACATCCACAACATCCAGCAGCTCAACATCCAGCAGCACCAGCACCAGCTCCTCAAGTTCCAGTAGCAGCAGCACAACAACAACTTCAACGAGCACATCGTCCTCTACAAGCACATCCTCCAGCACCAGCAGCACTTCCAGCTCTTCGAGCACTTCGTCCACGACATCCACATCAAGTAGCACCTCAAGCAGCAGCTCAACGAGCACGTCCAGCACAACATCCACCTCAACATCTTCATCCAGCACAACGTCGAGCAGTTCAAGTTCAACATCGTCGACGTCCACAAGTACATCAAGTACGACATCATCGTCTAGCTCAACAAGCACAACTTCAACATCATCAAGCAGCAGCACGTCATCATCAACAACCTCAAGCTCATCAAGCACAAGCAGCACATCTACAACATCAACATCATCAACAAGCTCGACTTCGAGCACCTCCAGCAGCACAAGCAGCAGTACATCCAGCACTTCCTCAACTTCTTCGTCCACAAGCTCCACAAGCACTTCCAGCACCTCCTCCAGCACGAGTTCAAGCACAACATCCTCCACAACTTCAACTTCGACCTCCACCACCACAACATCCTCAACCACCTCGTCCACATCAACTTCCACCACATCATCCAGCACCTCGAGTTCAAGCTCGTCAACATCTTCAAGCAGTTCAACTACTTCCACCTCAACGAGTAGCACTTCCACTTCTAGTAGTTCGTCCAGCACCACAACGACGTCATCGTCTAGCACATCGTCAACTTCTACATCGTCAAGCTCAACATCAACAACGAGCACCTCATCTACTTCCACCTCATCCACCTCAACTTCTTCATCTAGCACCTCATCGACCTCAACATCATCGACCAGCTCGTCAACTTCATCTTCCAGCACCACATCCACCTCGACATCTTCTACTTCCAGCTCATCTACAAGCACTTCATCCAGCAGCAGCTCGACAACGAGCACCTCAACATCCAGCAGCTCGTCCACATCTTCCTCCAGCAGCTCTAGCACATCCTCAAGCACGTCCAGCACAACGTCCAGCTCCACTTCCAGCTCTAGTAGCTCAAGCTCCTCAAGCTCGACCAGTAGCACCACCAGCACCAGCACTTCGAGCACCTCGTCAGTAAAGGGAGCAGACGGGGCCGCAGCTGCAGGATAGCTTAAGTGCCTTCTGCCTCGTGACCGGCGAGATGGCTTGATTTCGAAGTAGCAGGAGCACATTTCGAAGTAGAAGGTCCTCTAAGACGAGGCTTTTGGTCTACCATGTCTTGACAGTGTCCAGGTGACCTTTAGAAAAGAACACATGCCACCCCGCAAAACGCTGTCCCCATTCATTTGATTTCAATTGCTTAATTTTCTTGTTTAAGCCCCACCCGTTTGAGACGCTCCTAAGTTGCCAAGTTTTTGTCGCCATCCTCTGCGTTGGACCTCGCCGGAGTCTTTGCTGCCGAGGCACCACGAATAGCACCACCACATCGTCAACCACCACCACGTGCCTTGGGCATGTTGACAGCTGAAGTGGTGAGGATTGTGATGCATCGCAGTTCGAACCGTGTAGAAGCGAGGGAGTTGGAGCTGTTGGTGTTTCGAGGTGGAAGTGGAGTTGACTGAGAATCTTGACGCTGTCCAGTTAATGGACAACGATCCTTTCCAAAAGGGTTGAACGTCCCACGACGTGTCGTGTGTCGTGCATGAACATCATGGGGTCCGGACCAGGGAGGGGACTGTAGGCCAGGGTGGAAGGTGGAACTAGCAGGCGATGCAAGGTGCGTAGACTCCTGGGGTCCAAAGGTCGGGAGGGGCTTTGGCGAATCGAAGCATCCCAGAATCGATAACTGGAGGACCTTCACGAGTACCTCCACCACCTTCAGCAGCACCTCCACCAGCAGCAGCTCCTCAAGCTCCACCAGCTCAAGTAGCACGTGCCTTGGCGTGTCGATACAGATTTTGAGGCGGCGAGTGGACGAGCAAGCAAGCTGTTTTGTTGCAATCCATGCATCAAATGCATCTGGCCATGGAAGAAGGGAGTCTTCGCCCAATCCTTCATACGGAGATGTCGGGGGTTCAGGTGGGAGGTGAAGGTGGTCAAAGGGCGAAAGATGGCGAAAGGGGGTAGTGAACATGACTTCGTCCCATGACCACCCAACTTTCTTGTTGGGATACGCTGAGGTCGCTGACCACAAGTAGCACCACCGCTGCTCGGCAGATAGCTCGCCCAAAGTCGAGGTTTTTCAGCTCATGATAGGCGGAAGAACTGGAATTGATCATCGAAAGGGGGGTCGACGAAGGTTGGTAAGTGATTGGAAGCCAGCCGCAAGTACCCTGGCCAGGACATACATCCATGCCGGAAGAGGCACTCAAAGCTTCTAAGCAGGGTGTTGTATGAAGAAACTGCTTCTTGCAAGGATGGTGGGAGTCGGTGTATCATTGCCGCACCCACTACCACTCACCGCGTCAGAGGCGGAAACTAGATTCATGATCAACCTAGCACCAGGACGCGTTGAAGTGTTCGTCAACTGTTTCATGTATGACGAGATCCCCAGTTCCAATGGCAAACCAGAACCGTGCAGGAGAAAGCGGCCGTGTTTGGGTGCCGTTCGGCCTCGCTGCCCTCGACGAGGCGACCAGCAGCTCGACCACCTCCAGTTCCTCATCCTCCACGACTAGCTGCTTGGGCGATGGGGGTGGCGGAACCTGTTGGCCCTGGGTGTTGGCTCGGTCTCAACAATCACGGGCACCCAGGTTGGCTCGGACGGGATGCCTGACGGAGCAGTTGGACACATCTCCGGTTGCCGTGACCATGCCGTGACCATTCCCACTGGTCCATTGGGGAAGTTCATTTGCAAAATTCGGTTGGGGGGCCTGGCTATGTCATTCAGTAGAGCCTTGAAGATCTCTTGTATTGTAAGGCAGTGTGTTCGCACCACCCCAACAATCGCAACAGTCGATCAAGAGCACCAATTGACACTAGTGGCGATATCACATCCGTCGTGATGATGATGCGGTGATGGTCGCGAGACCAACGACACTTCACTCCCCTGAAGTATTAATTTCCCTACAGGCCAGGGCCTGTAGTGGTCGCATTGTCTCTGGTTTGACGGCCTGGTTTAGCAGACACCTCCATCCGCTCCATCCGAGGCTCAAGCAGCTCAAGCTCATCGCGCTTTGGGCCTGACCAGAGAGGGTAGTGAGGTCTGGCGTTTCTTTAGGTGTTTTCTTTCTTCAAGGACCTGCCATTGATGGTGTTCCTTTTGGGCTTAGAATGCGCCACCAACAACAACATTACCAAACCCAAAGACGGAACTTGCAGCATCTCTGGGAGAGATGCGGTTCCAGAGCACTTGCTGTACATCGGCACCATCAAATTGACCGGTGTCAAATATTCCTGTGGATTCCTGTGGCCTTTTGGCACGGGTGACCCACATTTTGGGAGGAGGGATCCGTGGGTCTTTCAACCTCTGCATGCCGCGGAGCTGAGGAGCAGCAGCAGCACCTCCTCCTCGTCAACCACCTCCTCTAGCACCTCCTCCTCATCCACCAGCACTTCCTCCTCCACCACCACCACGGTGGATCTCATGGCGCCCTGGCTTGGAAGACAACATCAGCGGGGGGGTGAGGGGGCCATTCATTTCATGTCATCGAACTTCTGCTCGGGTGGCTTGGCCAACTCACTCGAGCAGCGCCAGCATCCTTTCGGGGCCCAGCCTCATCGGCATCGTTTTCGGCTTCGGTGAAAACGAAGAAACGTCTTGGCCCCTGTCCCAAGATCCGCACACGCGGTGTGATGGACTTCAACTTGGATAGTGGCGATGTCGCGGAGGTGGAGACGGCCGTGGAGAGCACCCTGGTGCCTTGGAGAGCACCCTCCGAACTTCACGAGACTGTGCCCGGGGGTGGCTGGGACGGAGGTTGCAGCCGCCATGCACACATGAGAAGTGGGTTTCTAGAGGGGAGGGTTTTCAGGTGCTGGGAAGATCCGGATGGTTCGTTTGCAAGTGGGGCATCCGTCGGCTTCGCAACGGAAGAGACTCTGAGAGGCTCCATAGATCGATGGTTTCGAGGCGTGGAACGCTGAACGACGACTGAGGCGAACTGGTTTGGAGCCTTCAGCCACTTCGTTCGTTCAGAGGCGCCCGGGGCGCGGGATCCGTCATGATCCGTCCCAATGGGCGCCGTGAGAGGGACGAGGATGAAATGAAAGGTCACAGTGGGACGTGGGACTTGTCCAGGAGGCAATGGATGGCAGGAAGGCCTCAGTTGACACCTAAGTGAGTCTCTCTCACTTTTGCCCATGAGGGGCACTTATATAAACCTGAAAGAGCAGCACACAGTCTTACCGAGAAGAGGAGGTTGTTGCACCTGGCTTGGCCAATCTACATGTTCTTCCACAGGCCAGTGGCCTCCGGCGGCCACCGGAATCGCGGTTGGTCCAGCTCCCCACGCCGCTCGTTGACACTGCCAGCTCCCCCGCCCGTTGCGCCAGCTCGTTGCGCCAGCTCGTTGGGCTCCGACACGGCAGGCCGCCTCCTCGCTGAGCTCGGCTCGACGCCTGGAAGACCGGCGCTTGCAGGCCCGAGCATGGGCGGTGAGCTTTGACGTCTTCGTCTATGAGCAGCAGCTGGACAACGCTGCATGGCTGGAGGGGCTGGAGGAAGGTAAGCAGGAAGTTGAGGGAAGGTGAGGTTATGTCATGTAGTAAGTCTGAGAGGATGCGAAGATGTGGGAGGGAGAGCAGGCCGTACATCCTAGACAGTACAGAGGGTGGGCATGGGCCGGGGGATTTCGAGACTTTTCTAGGGGATGCGTCAGTGCTTCTCCAAAGGAACGTTCTCCACCAACCTGTGGTCTTGCCCCGCAGCGAACCCCGAACATCAGGTCACGGCCACGGTGACGGATCTGCGCACCGCGGCCGCGGAGGCGCGCTTCGCCGAGTGGCTCCAGCGGGAGCGCCTGGGACGGTCGTAGGGGTCGGAGGGGTGGGACGACCTCCGACATCCGCCAGTGATGGACCGTGACGCCTTTTTTGAACCCTTTTTTGGGGGGTGTGTGGGTTGGGGAGGTCAATCTGAACTCGAAATCCGGAAGATCCTGGGAGGGCTATAAACTACAAAGTTCTTTTTCTTGCAGCAATTGGTTGAGGTTCGACCAGTTAGCCCAACGACAAGAGTTTCATAAGTGCGCTCAGGATCGACGTTTTCCAACCTGGTCTTCATATGTGCTGTAGAATTTCTGGTGCACTCTTGCTGTTTTAGAGTCCCCAGCATTCGGATGCATGGCATGCTGGCTACCTATTTTTGTCCATCCGAGGCTCAATGGCCTTGGCATTGGTGCTGTGCCTTGGCTGGTTAAGCTTCACCGATATAGCCATGTATATATATATACACACCTAGAACCCAGTTGACTTGTTTTTTAAGACAATGTTTTGGCCCCAAAACAAGGGTCAACCAGGTTTAGCTATGTATACATACATAGCTTCATGTTTGAGTGGGTGATCGTTCTCGACTTTGTGCCCGTCCAATGACTCACAAAGAACATATTTCAGCGTGCTGGTTTGAAGTGAAATTGATGCCAGTCCGGTCTACAGAGTCTACATTGAAGCTGTACACATACCACACAACATATGTATGTATTTAGTCTCTAGACTCCAAGCCCCAAGCTTAGTCTCAGAGTACGGTGTCCTACCCAAAGACTGGGCCCGCCGGCCCACGCGTGTCTGCGCCGTCGGTCAAACCGAGGGCTTCTCCCTCTTCCGGTTCCGCGAGCTGGTCGACCCCTATGAGGCCAGGGCCGGAAAGCGGGGGCCAGGCCTGTGGGTGTCTGAAGATAGGAGGGTTGGGTGAACAAAAGGACTTTCGTAGATGTTGGAGAGAAATTGTAGGTAGGATGTGCTAAAAAGATGATGGAATGTAATGGGGAATGAGATGAACTCCTAGATGTTTGTGCTAGCGGAATTTTTACCGCCCAGAAAAACATCCAGAAAAACATGGATGTTTTGGAGATGGACGACTTCAGCACAGTGCCTCGATTCCGAGGGTTCAGATGTCATTCGGTTCAAATTACACATGCATACAGAAGAAACCCTTCTACGTTGCTACACAATGCGAGCGACTG